GCATTTGTGGATCAGAGCTGCTGTCCTGGGTGGTGGGATTTACTCGACTGCCCTTGTGGATATGGGTTTACACGTATGTTTCCTGCCCTAGTTGTGTTTTGTTGACTGCTTTCCCTTTAGTTCGGCTCTTACAGTCTACGTGAGTTTGCTTGAATGGCCTCTGCATTTGCTTAGTTTTGTTGGTGTCTGTTTCCTCCTCTGGCACTTTGCCCCCATGAGCACAGGCTCGTGTCCATACTGACAGCAGTCAGTCTCCACCGTGTGAATATTTATGTTTCGTTTCCCTTTGGAAAAATTAACAGAATCGACGACCATTTATTTGGTGCCTCTTTTAGATTCCAAACGTAAATGTAAACAACAACAAAACAAAAACAAAAAACCCAAAACACACAAGCACAAACAAACAAGAAAACAAACTTGATAGCAGCTTGGTCACAGGAGTCACTGATTGCTGAGACTTCCCTCAAACAGAGAACAGTCTTCCCATCCTCAGCAGGGAGTTTATGGAGGGAGTGATGTGATGGGGAAGTCCAGGGACCCAGCTTTGGGTCAAGGCTGGCGAGCTGCACCAATGGCCTCCTGAGGTTGGAAGGCTTCTTCCTTGAGGCCTGCACCAAACACGGAGTCCCTGCTCTCTCTCCACTCTGTGAGCTCGCGTCTGAGCACAGCTGTGAGACCTCGGCTTCAGTCCTGAGTGGATGCTGTTCCACTCGTGTGGTTTTATTGATTTGTTTACGGACTTGACACAAGCTGGAGTTCACATGAGAAGGGGGAAGTCTTAGCCGAAAAGAAGCTGTCCACAGGTTGTGGGCTTTGATTGCCTTGACTGATGGCAAGGCAGTCCTGGGGTGTATATGACAGCAAAGTCAGATGACGCTCCTCTATTGTAGCGCCAGCTCCACTAGTCGAGTGAAGGCCTAGAGATTGAAATAAGAAACAAGGCTTATATACTGGCTCACAGCACAAGTGGAAAATAACAGGGTTTCCAGACTTAGCTCCTCCCCAGAAGATGTGTGTTAGCAAAAGAGGAAGAGTACCTATAACAATTCGGGTGGTGGTGGTCAGGGAGGACAAGATGTTCCAGCCAACAGCTCAGGCTTGCTCAAGGTGCCTCCGGGCCCTACACTCTATGTCCATTGATTGTCTTGGTTGATGGCTGACGTGGAGTGCTCAGCGTACCGCAGTGGTGCTGCCATTGGCAAGGCGGTCCCGGGGTGTATATGACCGAAAACTGACTAAGTCAGAAAGAGCAAGGCTCTATGTTCCTCTATGGCCATTGCTTCAGCTCCCATCTCCAGGTTCCTGCGTTGAGTTCCTGCTGTGGTGTGATCCAAGAGTTGTAGTATGAACTAAACCTCTTCCTCCCTATCTTAGTCGGGGTCTCTATTGCTGTGAGGAGACACCATGACTATGGCAACTCTTATAAAAGGACACATTTAACTGGGCTGGCTTACAGTTTCAGAGGGTTGGTCCATTGTCACCGTGGCAAGGAGCTTGGCAGCACGCAGGTGGGCATAGTGCTGGAGAAGTAGCTGAGTATTCTATATCTGGATCTGTAAGCACAGGGAGGGATACTGGGCCCGGTGTGAGCTTTTGAAACCTCAAGGCCCACCCACACAAGGCCAGCTCCTCATCCTCAAATAGAGCCACTACCGGATGACTCAGCATTCAAATACAGGAGCCTGTGGGGGCCATTCTTATTTAAACCCAAGGTTGCTTTGGGCCACGGTGTTCCACCTCAGTAGTGGGAAGCCTAAGACAGAAGTTATCTGTAGGTGGGGTGATGCCTCATACATCCGATACTTGTACTGTTCATGTCTGAGTGCCTTCCCTTAGGAGCTCGGCCTTGGGTCAGGTTCTCTTTCATGGTAAGATCAGCTTTTGGGTACAGAGCTTGCTAGTCTCTCCTCCCATCCAATTGCAGGTCTGCAGGGATGCGTCAGCCAGCCCGGACAGTAGTCAGGATAAGGGACAGTAAGAGCATCCTTGATTTTTGGCTGAGAAAAGATTGCGTCTAAAACTCATTTCACGTTAGAGACCGGGCAATGCTTTAGACGTCTCTTGAAGAACATCTCTTGCAGGCTTCTATGTCTCCCATTTTCAACATTCCCCCTTGACGTAGATAGGAGAATGCTAAGGGAAAGACATGGCTGAAACATTGATGCCACAACCCAATTCCCAATGAGGAGAGCAGCTCGAAGGACATTGGCTCTGACTTGCCAAAGGGAAACTAGACCTCTCAGGGGATTTCCATGGACACCGAGGTCCCTGGAAGATCTAGAAGGAACACAAAGAGCCGAGACAGCAGCTATTAGAAGTTGCTTTCAAGGAGAGTTGCCGACTCCAGAACATAGTCCTGGTAAGGCTGAGACACTAATGGAGCAAAAGAAAATACTAGGCGTTTTCCCATTGCACACAAGTCATTTGGGGTAATTATAGGCAGGGTGATGGAGTTGAAGACTACAAAGACGTCTTCAAAGAAACCAGAAGCCATGAAATGAAGTTGAAAGTTCGTCAACTTGGCAAGGCTTGTGGGCTTGTGTGCGACAGACCACGTGACTCCAAGTACTACACTGCTTTATTTCTTCGGCTCGCCTTGTCTTACTGTCATTTGCTGGTGATGGCTGCGATTTAGGATGGTTCCGGGACTCTCTACACTGTTAGCCTCTTGAACTTTCACAGCTTCCTTTTTCAACAGGAAACTGAAATGTAGAGACTGAGGATCATGGTGCACGATGGTTTCCAGGGCTAGAACACTTTTCAAAGTTCTGTGTGTGTGTTCTTGTGCGCATAGGTGCGCCAGCATGTGGAAGCCAGAGGATACCTTCAGGCTTTTGAGACAGGATTTTGTTGTGCCCATACTCTGAACCTCCAAAACCACCAAGAGACCATGTCTGATGCAAAAGCAAAGAGTCTTTTTATGAGTCCTGTCTGTCCAATACAGTGGGTGGAGGAGGAGGGACCCCAGTAACAGAGGGGCAGGGAATATATTGGGGGTAGGTGTCTGGGTTCTGCTCGTTGCATAGCAACAGTCTCAGGATTGGTGCAGCTCTGGGCTGGGGGAGCCTGTCTTGAGTTCACTGGTCAGCTGCAGCTGCAGGAAGATTGCTGTACCTAGAGAGGCCATCCAGGGCCATTGCTACCTACTGCATTCCACTATTATCAGCAAAGCACATCCAGAGCCTGCCAGCTAACTTCTGATTTGTTCCTTGCCGCATGAAGGGTATCTGGAGGTTGCTTCCCAGTGATTAGGGCAAGGTGGGGGGCTCAGCACATCCTGCTGAGTCAGGGGGTTTATGTCTCGCTTTGTCTTTTCTGCAGCCTGCCATGGCTGCCAAAGCAGGGGGCTGGGGGAGGGGCTGGGCCTTTCACCACAATGCAATGGTCCCCTGTCTACCTCTTTTGAGACAGGCTCTCACATTGGTCTGGAGCTCGCCAATTAGGCTAGACTGGTGGTGGGTGGGTCCTAGGGACCCTCTCCTCTTCCCACCTCACAACCCTGGCATTACAAATGCGCACCACCACACCCGGTATTTTTACCCGAGCTGGGGATCAGACTCAGGTCCTCATGCTTATGATTTAAGTGTTTCACTGACTGGGTAGTGGAGTCCCCTCATCCCACATTAGAATATCCTGCTAGCCCAGTTTGTACTCATATCCGTTATCAGCATAATAGCTCACGTTCAGTCAGCCTTTAAATCCATGTATCCCACAAGGCCTGTTTTTTTTTCCCCCCCTTAGGAGGAACAAGTTAAGCCACAGAGCCTTATCTCCATTATTGGTGGGCATGGCAGTTACCAAGGCTGTAGGATTCACTTGCTTGGTCTGAGGACAGAGCACTCTGGGAGCTGTCTAAAAACAATGCACTTTACTAACAACTGGTTAGAAGAGTGCTTTGGGGAGAAAAGGTCTCACTATGAAGGCCTGGCTGTCTTGGAACTCTGTCCTGGAGCCAGGCTGGCCTCAAATTCAAAGCGATTTGCCTGCCTCTGCCACCAGAGCGCTGGGACTAAAGGGGTATGGCACCATGTCCAGCATGGGGTGTTTTTTGTTTGTTTGTTTCTCTTGCACACAGTGTGTAGAACACTGTTTGACACTCTGGACCTAACCTGGGCACACATGGGTTTTTAATGTTAATCAGCTGAGTGAAGTCCAAACTCAGTTCCACGGTGAGTGCCAGCTGTGTATTAAGAACTCAGTGGCTACACGTGGCGGGCAGCTTCTGAGTCACGCAGCACAGCTCTGGGCTGAAATCCTGGGTTTGCTGTCTTATAAGCTGTCCAAGGTTTCAAATGCTAATTATACCTATAAAATTGTTCTCTGCGTGTAATGAAGTGCCATATTCATCACTTAAAACATCATTGCAATGTTGTGAAATCATGTCTTTGCCCCAAGTCTCTGGCCCTGGGATCTTATCGTATAACATTGTTCTTCAGACGCTGGATGAGGCATCTAAAAGCTGATGTCTTTTGCTTTGTTCTTCCTTTATTATTCGGGTTTTCCCAGACAAGCTTTCTCTGTGTAGCCCTGACTGTCCTGGAACCCGCTCTGTTGCCCAGGCTGGTCCTTGAACTCACAGATATCAGACTACCACTGCCTCCCGCGTGCTTGGATTAAAAGTGTGCACCATCTGCTCTGCTCTTTAGGACAGACGGATATTCCACATTTTGTACTGTTGGCAGTTTCTCTGGATGCAGGAGTTACTGTCAAAGGCACACAAGATGTGACGTTCCTATCTGCAAGTAACAAGGAAACAATGGCAAGGGAAGTGATGGGTGGGAGTCACAATCTTTTCACAAAGGGCAAGAGTAAGGTGAACTTGAACCTGCCAAGACTATCAACTATCCACGGTTTTAACGGCCAACCAACTTCTAACTCAGAGACGATGGGACTGTTTGTCACAGGTTCCATTTCTTGTGTTCTGATTGGTTTCTTTCAGGGACGCACAAGCTTATGCACCCACCGGCATCCACTGGTAGTGACGCGAGTCTATCGGCACAATGGAGAAAAACCTGAAGAATGTCTTAGTGGTGTCCTGTGGATTCTTCCTTCTCTTCACGGCATACGGGGGCCTGCAGAATCTGCAGGTGAGATGATACTCGGCATGTTATCCAATTCACCCCTGATACCCCCTCTTCCCCCCCCCTCCACACACACACCCTCCCTGGAGCAATTCTTGTTTTTCAAATGAAGCCCTGTAAGATTTGGTCTTGTTCCCCCCACAGTGACGCCAGAGCTCCACAGCCCAGGTGTGTGTGTAACCGTGGAGTAAGGAGGAGGAGGACTCAGGACACTTTGCTTTTGAGTGGTTAAAAAGAGATAAAGGAAACTATTGTGGATTTTATGTGCTCTGGGCAGAAACGTCAATTGGTCAATGCTCACTTTTGAACAGTTATGGAATCCTTCTTCTTCCTCGGGTCTTTGAGTCTGCATGAAAACCGAGTAGCTCCCTCCAAGAAGCTGGGCTTGGGGGATCATGTGCATCTAGCTCATGTGGGCCTGGGGAGGATTTGACATTTTTTTCCTGTGGTGATTACAGTGAAAACTAGGACATCTGTCCGTCCGTCCGTCCGTCCATCCATCTTCCTTCTTTCCCTCCTCTTCCCTTTTTTTCTCCTTTCCTGGTATTCTTCCATTCTCTGTCCCCTTTCTTTTAAGACGAGGTTTCATGTAGTATTGGCAATACCAGGCCCGGGCTGATGTTGGCTCTCTGGGTTCTCACGGTGCCTGTGTGTTCACCAGCTGAAGGCGGTGGGCGCCTTTTTAGACTTTAGTGTCTCTGTGGTGTTGCATGGCCCTCTAGTGGAAAGCACCTCCCTTGGCCTGACTGAGAGGATGTTGTATGTTGACGTAATTAGGTCTACTGCATACAATACACGTGTACTTGTAACGTGAGATTTCTGGCCCGGCAGGTCCCGCTGTCCTCAGTCCCAAAGGAACACACGGACGTTATATTAGTTTATAAAGCTCTTGGCAGTTGACTTGGGTTTCTTACTGGCTAGTTCTGTCTTAATTATTAACCCATAGCTACTAATCCATGTGTTTCCACGTGGTCTTATCTTATCGGAGAATGCCGGGCCTGCAAATCCTTTGCCTGCTACGTAATGGCTCTACTTAGATATTGACACCTGTCTGTCTTCTTTTTCGGTGGTCTGCAGTCAAAAGCAATTGTTGGTCACAAATGACCACCCTCCCTAGTTGGTTATGATAACGGGGGTGATAGAGAAATCCCCACGTTGACACGTGCTGTCAGGGCTTCACTAGAGTTGGAAAGCAAGCAGGCTCACGGCTGTGGGTGACGTTCCCAGAGCAAAACTGTTTCTAAAAGGGCCAGGCTGGACCGTGCTTCTAGCTACCCAGGCAAGCCCACTTCAGAGGAAGGTGCTCAGCTCCATCTTTTAGACAGATTGTGGGGGTTTTAGGGACTGGCTAGAGCAGGGTGCAGCTGAGCCACGCGTGAGCCACGCGTGGCCACTGGACACGGGGAAGGGCAGGTAGGACGATGATGGGGACACCTTTGCCACTCTTTCCCCTTCTCCTCCTCCCCTTCCATCCTCATTAGCCAATGCTCCCTCTTCCCCTCCTCCTGTCTCCTCCTCCCTCTCCCTCCCCGCTCCTCCCCCTCTTCCCGACTTTCTTCCTCCTTCTCCTGCCCCTTCCTCCTCCTCTTCCCCATCCTCTCATCCAGCTTCTCTTACAAATGACGGAAGAAGAAAGAGTTCTGCCGGCGCAGGGTTTGAGGGGGTCCCCGAGGCCGGGGCGGGCACTCACACGGTTCAGTCCTCTGACGGCCGGTCTTTCTTTCACAGAGCAGCCTCTACAGTGAGAATGGCCTGGGGGTGGCCACCCTCAGCACCATCTACTGCACTATGATGCTGTCCTCAATGTTCCTCTCACCTATCCTCATCAAGAGGTTTGGATGCAAGTGGACCATGGTGGGCGCCATGTGCTGTTACCTGACCTTCTCCCTGGCCAACTTCTACGCCAACTGGTACAGCCCCTAGAGCCGGCCGGCCCTCCCCAGGGAGTGCGTGCCTGCCTTAGCTCTCATGCAGCCCACTGTCCTCCGCTACTGGGTTGGAGTGCCCTGCTCTGACATTCTATGGAGGGATGGGACTGTGATACTGTAGGCGTGGAAACCGGGATGCTTGACCAGTAAGGGGATGCGGGGTTTATTAGGGGAGAATAACCTACGCGGGAAACAAGTCACTATCTCGCGGCTCCGGCCCCAAGGATGCAGACCCTGACACCCTGATGTTCTTAGTGACCCCAAGGGGCTTCCGAGTCCCAAATCAAATCCTTTTCCGGTTATGTCCGAACCTATGACCACACCCGATAGGGTGTGGTCAGTGCTACAGGTGCGGGAGGGGGTTGGGTGAATATATCACCGCACGATACCTTATCTTCCCTGTGTCCCAGCTGGCTTCCTCTCATACTCCTGACCTCCTCTTGGGATCTCTCTTGCTACCCACTCCCCACCCCCGCCCTCCTTCATCCTCATGGCTCCGATGGTTAGAGAGTCTGATGTAGGTGAGTCTCAGGGAGATTTAGCCAGCAAGGGACCAATGTCTATTCCCTGTACCCTCAGCTTTTGAGAGGGGAATCACACTGGCCTCTTGGGGGGCTCACCCTGACCCCTTCCTCCCTTCTGCTGCATCTTTTTGCAGGTACACCCTGATCTCAAGCTCTGTCATGCTGGGCCTGGGTGCAGGTCCTCTGTGGTCTGCTCAGTGTACCTACATCACCACCATAGGGAATTTGCAGGCACAGAAGAAGGGAAAGCTTGTCAAGGATGTGGTAACCCAGTACTTTGGCATCTTCTTCCTTATATTCCAGTCTTCTGGAGTGTGGGGCAACCTCATTTCCTCACTGGTATTCAGCCAGACAACCAATAAAGGTAAAGGCTGAGGGCTGAGTGGCCTTGGGAAACAGCCGGGTCTCCAAGACAGCAAAGTGGGGTCCCAATTCCACCTGTCCTTACTGTGGAGGCAGGTAGTCCTGCCACTCTCGGGACGATCGTGAGGCTAAGCAGCCGTCTTTTCCCACAAGTACCCTGTGGAGGTTGGGGAGCCCCTAGGGAAAGGGTGTCATGAGGAAACTGGGCATTCCCAAACTTCTGCTAGCGTAACGTGGGTCCCTGGAGTTGCTGAGAATTTATGTGGATTTTTTTTCCCTGTAAAACTGACCCACAAGCCAGTGTTAGCACCATCTGTTGGACGCCTTATCCCACGACAGGGGGAATATTCCATGCCTGTCTTCCCTCAATCCCACGCAGCAGGGGCAGAGCCAGCATCTTCTTCATGCCATGCCCAGGCTGGAGGTCTTCAACCTTCTGGATTTCTGGATGTGACATTTCTGGGTTGGGATGGCTTCTGTCTCTCCATCTTGGCCATGCGTCTGGCTTCTCCCAGGTCACATGCCAATAGGGAGCTCAGAAGTCACCCACCTTCATCCCCTCATAGGGTCAGTGTGTCCCAGGCAGGGAAGCATCATTGCCACTCAGCCAGGATTCTGCAGAAACTGATGTCACAGTCTCTGTGCCATAGCAGATGAAGGGCCGTGACCTGCTCCTAGATACAGCCAGGCCAGTACACTCATTCCTCGAGTAGCGAGATAATCCCCCACTGCCATGCCCAGAGACTGACCTATCCTAGATAACAGTCCCTCACACCTCACAGATGTGCCCAGAGGCTGCCTCCTATGTGACCCTAGATCCGGGCAAGCTGACAACACTATCGCATTAGTTTCAATTTGCGTGCGCGCACGCGCGCACATGTGTGTGTGTGTGTGTGTGTGTGTGTGATATTTATTGTTATTTTATGGGTTCAAGTGTTTTCCTGCACGTATGTCTATGTACCCTGTGCAAGCAGATGCCAGAGAGGGCATTAGATTCTCTGGAACTGGAGTTATACACAGTTGTGTGCCAATGTTGGGTGCTGGGAACCAAACCTGGGTCTTCTACAAGAACAGCCAGTGCTAATTACTGGACCATCTCCCCAGCCCTGGTTTTTTTTTTTTTTTTTTTTCAAATAAAAGAATTAGCATTCATTTCCTGAAACAGAAAAGACACGTCACCTGACGTGCTTTCACTGCTGATTTTTGGCCTCAGGCATCCGACCTGAGTCACTAGAATTCTAACACCATCTTCTTGACTTTCAACTTCATTAGAGGCTATCCCGGAAGATCAGCTCATGTTCTGCGGTGCCAAAGACTGCGGCTCGATGGGTACAGAGGCCAGCAATACTACCCATCGTCCGTCGCAGCAACTGATCTACACGCTGCTGGGCATCTTCAATGGTAAGGCACAAATGCCTAACCTCTTATTGTGGTGAAGGTCCCTCGCATCCAGAGTCTATAGAAACCCCCGCCACACCTTACCTGGCGGAAGAGATGCCATGATCACAAAGGCAGTTTTCCCAGCACGGTGCTTGTCCACTGCACTCTGGATGTGTCGGCCCCGGTGATTCCCCAAATGTAGGGAAGGCAGTGTGTAATTTGTGGTAGTGGGGGGAGGGCTATGATAACGCACACCCCCATCCGCCACCGCCGCCAATTGCAGCCCTCATCTCTGAAAGCAGAATCGGCGGCCAGTACTAACAAAGCTACATGTGACCGCGCTATGTGAGGGCGCACAGTTCTAAAATGGGAATGTGGGTTTATAATGGAGTGAAACCTGGGGGCCCAGGGAGGTGGCCCAAGTCGCTTCCGTGTTTGATCATCTGCGACCCAGACACGTGCTCGACAGGCAGCCTGTTGACATCCATGTGGTGATGGGGACAACAAGAGGTCACCTGGCTTGTGGTGTCTCGATATCGACCCCGCCCCCCTTCTGCAGTGGGGAGGCCAGACACCTGTGGAAAATACTGGGCTGAAGTAATCTCCCCGCCCCCTCTCCACTATGCCTAGAGACTGTTATGGGTGCCGAGACTGGGTAGGCAAGCATTCGCCAAGAGAGCTGGCCTCATAGAGCCCACAGTTCCGTAAGGCTGTGTCACGGTGTCACAGTCAATGTCACATCACTGACAGAATGTCAGGGCACAGCTGTACACCCTGAGCGAGTCTGACCCGCACCCGCCGAGGGAGTCTCACACCCAGAGTTTGGACGCTTCTACCCCTGCGGACGCTTCCACCACTTGTGAGAAAGTATAATAGCATGTGCTCAAAGGACGTCACAGAAGGCACCTCACACCAGCAGGGGACAGAGGGGCCTCCGTGTAAGTCAAGGCAACACGTACACAGAAATACATTTCCTGTGCAGGGACGTGAAGGTGCCTAGAACAGCAAAGAGGGCAGATGGCCGAGACAGATTCATTTGCTTCCTGCATTTTGGAATTACAGGTTTCCAGACTGTTGAGGTTGAAATGACTAGTTTTAGGTCCTTTGTATTTTTGTTTGTGTGTCTTTTTTTTTTTTTTTACAGATAACCCATTCACGCGTTTCAAAGCACAAATGCAGTAAAAGGTCGCAAGACCCGTGGAGGCCTCTGTTAAGTGCCCTCAAACACACCCCTCTCCAAACGCCTGTGTTTTATGCACAAATGGATTTCTGTGTCCCTCTTTGGTGGTGTTGTGCCTTGCTTTGAGGGGTGGGGCACACCCGGTCCTGGTAGCACTGACGCCCGTCTGTGTGTCCTTCTAGGCAGCAGTGTCCTGGCCATCCTACTGATATCTGTGTGTCTCGAGTCTGTGGAGAACAGACTGGTGAATGAAGGGGAGGCAAGGCCCGAACCGCCACCTGTCTGGTCCACTGTGCTGTCCACCTTCACGCTCTTTAAAGACAAGCGCCTGTGCTTTCTGATACTCCTCCCACTGTACAGCGGGCTCCACCAAGGCTTCCTCTACGGAGAGTACACAAAGGTAGGAGTGCTCCTGCTGTGTACCTGCCTAAGGGTGCCCCAGGGTGTCCCAAGAGCCGCGGCCCAGCTTCCCAGTCCTACAGCGGCGGAAGCTATGATCTGAGACGCCCGTCTCCTGATTCCCACGCAGACACTGTCTTCTTATCTTCGTCTTCCCCTCTTCCTCATCACCACCGTGCTCAGAGGCTGGCGTGACGACTGTCTTCCCATCATATTCACCTTGTCACCATGGCTGGCCCTGGTGGTTGCCTGTTTAGGAGCCAGGACTCAGTGATTTGCACGGGTCCCCCTTCCCATCAGACATCTTGTCATTCCAGCCTCAGCCAGCCGTGCCAGTGCAGCCAGCCTCCTTGCCCCCGGCCTTCCATCCAAGTGTCCTTGATTCTGCTGTCCCTCTATGGCATTATGAATGCTCTGTAGAACAGTGTATCACACCCCTGGCAAAGAACGTGTGGAAAGGAGTTTGACCAGAAGTCTGTCCATCCTGGCCCAAAGTAGGCCCTCTCCTGCGTACGCGGATCCCTCTGATATACAAGCCAGCAAAGCATCCCTGTTTCTTTCCACTAGTCCTTTGTTACCTGCGCCCTGGGCATCCGTTTCGTGGGCTACGTAATGATCTGCTTCTCGGGTTTCACCTCCACGTGTTCCATGCTGTGTGGGAAGATCGCCAAGTACATCAGCAGGACTGCGCTCTATGGGATGGGTGAGTAGATGCACCACTCAGCACACGCTCAGGGCACACACAGGGCAGCGAGGGCCGTGCAAGCCCCGTGGGTGACATGTCTCCCTGCTGCTCTCCCTGTAGCCACCCCTGCTACCTCCTGCTTTCCTCCAAGGAGAGGACGCATAGCTGGCTTTCTTGGACCGCCAGCCCCCAGATTATGACATGGAGACTTAATATTATCAATTATATATGCTTGGCCTTAGCTTAGGCTTGTTTAAACTTAATTTAACCTGTTTCTATTCATATGCGTTTTGTCTCTCTCCAGGCATTTTTTTTTTTTTTTTAACCTTTCTTTCATTTTTGTATGTCCTACTTTTCACCTTCCCCTGGGTCTGGCTAGCTGACCTCCCCTCCCCACCCCCCGGCCAGTTTTTCTCTTTGTACAACAGTTCCACCTAACCCTCTTACATCTTGATACTGGCGGTTCAGCTTTTTACTAGAGCAGTCAGGTGACTTAGGCAGGCAAAGTAAATCGGCAACATATCTCTCTACATAGTTAAACAAATGCAACATATATTTACATAGTTAAACTATTGTACAACACAAATGCAACATATCTTTACATAGTTAAACAAATATTCTATTCCACAAAAAGGAAGTACATCTCACCCCCCACCACCCCAGATAGCTGTCACAGAATTCATGGCTCAAGGAACAATTCCAAATATCATTGTTCAGGGTTCTCCTGGTCTTCTCTCTTTACCCCCCCTAGGACTGTTTAGAAGCCTAGCTCACACTGTAGGGAGACAATCTCCTGGTCCTCCAGCCACATAGCAGGGTCTGGAGTACCATATCCCAGAGCCCTGGTAAGACTGTGGGTCCTCATGGTCTACCCTTGTAGTGATATATTATTTATTAAAGCTTGCCAAAGGGTTCAGAAAGCAAAGCTAGCCATAAGTCATAGAGGTCAGGCAATGGTGATACACACTTTTAATCCCAGCAGCCACACTAGCAAGCCATAGAGCCAGGCAGTGTCGATACACACCTTTAATTCCAGGACTCGTGAGACAGGCAGATGGATCTCTCTGAATTCAAGGCCACCCTGCCCCACACAAGAGTAAAGAGTAACAGAGCTCATGCCTTTGGTCCTAGCGCTTGGGGTCACACACCTTTAATCCCAGTACTAGGGAGGTGGAGAGAGGAATAAAAGGCAGGAGGAGATGGGAACTTAGAGCTTTTGCCTCCGAGGATTCGTGGAGACAGGATGGCCTTTTCAGCTGGGCAGAGGTGAGAGCTACTGGCTGCTTGGCTTCTCTGATCATCAGCTTGACGCTTGAACCCCAACATCTGTCTCTGGGTTTTTATTATTCGTGTTACACCCCCTTTTAGAGTCAGTCACTCACACACACACACATGCACGTTCTCTGCATCGTCCTGTCTCCATGCAAGTACGAGAAAATCTGGGAGCCCCCAACACAGGTGACCGGAGGCACTAGCCACCTCAGGCAGAGGGAACAGCCACCCACTGTCCTGTCTCGTTTCCTCTGACCAGGTGCTACCATTCACCTCTCTTGCATCACTACCCTCCTTCTGTGGCGCCCAGCCCTGGCTCAGCTGCCTGTCTTCTTCATCATCCCCGCCCTGTGGGGAATGGCAGATGCCGTCTGGCAGACACAGAACAATGGTAAGTGCCCAGCACAGGCTTGCAGTGCATCGGTAAGCCTTCTTGAGGGTAGCAAGGCCAGTAGGAGGCAGCCACTCCGTGTATGTCTAGTCGAAGCCCCCAGTTGAAGGCAACTCTGGAGCCAGAAGGGGCGAGGAAGGGACAGGGCTGCCGTGCGTTCTCTAAGCTGAGCCTGCATGATGTAGACGGAGGGTCAAGTCAAGAGAGACCAGGGGCTCCGTGCAGCCCGTGGTCCCCTGGAGTGCTGACAGGTGTGCCCACCCGAAGTGATGGCAGGCAAGGACCAGAGAACGCAAAGATAGGGGCCACAGAACACTCTTACATGCGTCACCCCGTGTCCTGTGGGCATGAGGCCGCAGGAGATGGAGAGATGGACACAGAGGGGGAAGATGCCTGATGTGGGCAGAGGTTAGCACCCCTGATGGACAGTCAGAATCTCAAATGGAGGTCAGAAGATCCCATGCACCCCCCCACACACACACAGAGTCAGAGACAGAGAACGTGACCCCTTGACCGTCCCCAGTTAGAGTGCCCGATCAAAGAGGCCATTGAGTGGCATGCCTAGACACGAGGGTAGCATGACTCTAGAACAGAGCTGTGGAATGGAGGTGCCAGGCCCAGGGTTGCACCAGGAAAGGCCCAAGAGAACCGGCAGGAGAGTCAGTGGTGTGACAGAGGAGGTGCGGAGATGCCAGGGTGCTTGCACTGGATGTTGGGAACTCTCGCTTATACCTCTAAGAGTAGCTCAGAGAGCTTCAGTGCAGGGCTCCAGGGTAAGGACGACACAGGATCCTGTGTGGATGGCATGGGGTCAGGATAGGTGATGGCATGCGCATTTGGGTGATGGTTATAGATGATATAAAGGCCAAGGTCGGACCCTCATCCTAAGTCTCCCACAAACACCTAATGGCAGGTTCCAGGGAGGGCAAGGCTCTGTGTCTGCAATCTGGAAGGTCTTAGTGATCCCAGCCTGAGGGAACCCTGACATGGATATGGTCAGTCAGGACACCCACAGCAGCTTGAGGCTGGGGTTGCCAGGGATGCGAGGTCCGGTGACTCCTTCCATATCTGCACGTGGCCACAGCATGTTGTTGCAGAGGGTGGACAGTGCCCTCCAGAGCTCGCCTGGAGGTACTGAGGAAAAAATGCCCTAGAGGAACCTAAGCTAGCTGGATACTGCAGGTCCTGCTGCCTTCATAGTGTGGTTGGCGTTTAGTGGAGATTAAGCCAAATGATAAGTAGTGCCTTCATCTAGTTTTTTTTTTTTTTTTGTTTGTTTGTTTGGTTGGTTGGTTGGTTTGTTTTTTTTTTTTGACTAAAGTCAGTAACTAGAAATGAACAGCTAGGTTTTCATGGGTTGGGATGTGCTCCTGTTCTTAGGAATATATTGGTTCAGTGGAGGGGGAGGGTTGAGGGTAGGGTAATTAGAAATTCACTTTAACTTTTTTCCCCCAAGTCCAGAATTAAAGCCAGTGACATGGCAGAGCAATTAAGGGGCTTAGCTTATCCAGCCAGCACCAGAGAGGAATTGCATCAAACCCCACACAGGTCTAAGAGTACTGGGACGCAGCCCATCCTCTGCATGCTGACAAACTGTGAACTCTAGCCAGACAGGCAGCCTGCTTTGTCCCTATCCCGCCCTCCAGCACTGCAGAGGTTCAAAATGATCACTGTAAAAACAATTTGTTGTGGTGGCACACGCCTTTGATCCCAGCACTCGGGAGGAAGAGGCAGGTGGATCTCTGTGAGTTCGAGGCCAGCCTGGTCTACAGAGCGAGTTCCAGGACAGGCTCCAAAGCCACAGAGAAACCCTGTCTCGGAAAAACAAAAACAAAACAAAACAAAAAATTTCTTTCCCTCTGAAATATGTGGGTAATTACTTTAACTCTCCCTTTCTTTAAATGGACATAAAATTCTCAGAAGAGCGCCTCTGTTAAACTGTGCAAATTTCCTAAGACCCGATATACATAAGTCCAGCGGGTGACTTGAACAATGACTCCACTGAATAAGGGATGCCCTGGGGAGGGGGGTGTAACCACGACAGGAGAATTGCCGAGACTTGCTTGGCCAGGCAGTCTAGCAGAGAGACCCTGTCTTCGGGGAGTGAGGTCGGTGTGGCAGATTTGAGTAGCCATTTACAAACCCCTCAGCCACTTGCTCTTCTTGCTGGGGCTGGGTGCCTAGCTACCTACCTGCTCACTGGGTCTCACCGTTGAGGGGAGGGTGGGTGCGTTTGCTATCGCAACCCTCACACACCACTGCACTGAGTGGAAGGCATGGGATGCTCACCTAGAAACACACCCCGCCCTGTCGGAGTAAGGCTATTTGCACGGAATCTGCCTTCCTCAGGGGTGCCCTGTTTGTTTAACCTGTCTCCCCAACACATGAGATGCCCGTTTGCTCATTCACATCTCCTCGTTTAAGGACTGGAATCAGTGTCTCGGTCACCTTGGCCTCCAGTGCCCTGAGCAGATGAGGCAGTTAGGTCAGGCTGATGCTGAGAGCTGAAAGAGTTTCTTTGTGAGTAAGGATGATATGTCACAGGCTGCAGAGACAGCACCAAGTCTGCACAGAGCCACGCGATAGTGCCCCCATTCTATTCATCCTTCACAATCAGGGAAAGTCGGCTGCTGTCGGGACATGGGTTCACTATGGCTCACAAAGGGTTCAGAGACCCTGGGATTTCACCAGTTTCCCATAAGCCTCCTTTTCTGCCCTGAGATCTCTTCTTGATTTAGCTGTGTGAGCAAGCCCCAGAAACCCGCCTGCTCTGCACCAGGGTCATCGGCCAGTGCCTGGCATTTTCTGTGGGTGTCAGGAGTCTGAGCTCAGGCTCTCTACCCCACACACATACACTCCACTCACCAAGTCCTGTCTGATGTCTTACACAGTATTTTCAGTCTAGTCTCTCCTCCACAGCTTTTTACGGTATCCTGTTTGAGTCGAAAAAAGAAGCTGCCTTTGCGAACTACCGTCTTGGGGAAGCCTTGGGGTTCCTCACCAGCTTTGTGTACAGCTCGTTTCTGTGCGTGAGCACCAAGCTCTACATTCTCTTGGGCATGTTGAGCACGACCATAACGGCTTACGGGACTGTTGAGTACATGGAGTCCAGGGCTGCCCGCAAGGTCCCCGCTCCCACAGAAGAGAAAAGCCAGCCAGAGAAGGGAGGAGTGAAAGAAATGTGAACGCAGCCAAGCTGTGGCCCCACACTCGGCCCGGGGGCGGCAGAGGTGCCGTATGCAACGGTGCAGTAGGTACATGCGATTATTCACAGCCTGTTTCAGCAATATGTGAGCATTCTGAAGAGCATCTATATATTTTTTTTTACGTATTTTTCTCAATTTAACAAATTTCCAGTCAATTTTTCTACTCACAGACCAACAGTATATGCAATGGGCTGGGAACACAGCCCAGTGAGGGTGTGTTTGCTTCTCATACACAAGGGCCACACGTTCAGTTCTAGTACAACAGAAAGAAAGCAATGACTGTGTACAGGGACAGGAGAGACGGCTCAGTCAGCACAGAGCTTTCTGGGCCGAACATGAGGACCCCAGTTTGAACCCTTGACACACATTAAAAAAAAAAAAAAGTTACATTTGTAACTCTAGCACTGGGGCTGGAGAGGCAGAGGCAGAAAGAGCCAGGAGCTCATTGGCTATCCAGACCCGTGAACTCCAGTGAAACTCTTGTCTCAGACACTAAGGTTAACAGCAACTGAATCACCTAAAGGTCAATCTCTTGCCTATACATACACACAGTCCCACAGACCAAACACACACACACACACACCACATACACACATACACCGTCACACACACAGTCACACACACACACACACTAAACAGTCACAGCACACACACACTCACACACCATGAAAGTATGTTAATTTAATTATAGATATGAAAAGAAACACATAAAAATTTTCCAGAATAGGTTTACCTCAGTTTTTGTTGTTGTTGTTGTGTATAATAATTGGAATAACCATAATTTTACAAGCACCATTATTTTATAAACAGCTGAACATATAACACCACAAACTTTACCAATGGATGCAAAAGGTCAATGAACAAAGCTGACAGGGTGGTCAGCCACTCTGCAGTTTGTGCCTCTGAAAATCCCCGGGGGACTTTTCTGAATAAAAAGTGCAATTGCTTTATGGACTTACTTCCTGCCTAAATGTTTTCTAAACACTCAACTGTATCACAAACACAACACACACACACTCATGTACACATGCACATACACACAACACATACAAACACACACACCACATACTACGAACACACAAAATAAAAATAAACGCATGCAACACTCGTGCACACATACATGTACACAACACACACACAAAGCACACACACATACACACACACAAGCATGCACAGATTTACACACATGCACACACATACACACACACAAGCATGCACAGACTTACAAACATACACACACACATACATGCACAAGCACGCACAGGCTTACCACGTTAGGAATTGTGCATGTTAGAGGCCATAAGAAGGATTTCAAAAGGGATGCTTGATGCTCAGCTATCACTGTGGTGAAGTCGAAGGTAATTCATGCATAGTACCTGCAGGGTGTTCATGCTATGGTCATGGTGGAGTCAGACATGGCGCGTGTGTTACACAGCACATGCCAGCACATGCAGTCCTATAGTCACCATCTGCATCCAGCATTCCAGCAGCCTCTTCATTCTTCCTCATCTTGAACAGCTCCTCGGGGACCGAGCTGTTGTTTTTCCACCACGCTTTTCCCCTGAGTCCTTTGCCATGGAACTCTGAGCCCCTGGCCCTTGCCCAGAGTCCTCTGTGGTTTCTACACGTCTTCCTTCTTTTCTCCTCACTACCACACGGGATCTACCACACGGGATCTACCACACGGGATCTACCACACGGGATCTGGCCATTTCTGAAGGAGTCAAATTTATGTGGAAGGCACTCAACGGGGGCAAAGGACACGCAGATGCCCTCTAGCTTGGAGGTGAGGGTTTTGCAGACAAGTCTTGCATGAACGCTTGATCTGGACCTACCTCGGAGAGTCCTAGTACCAAGATGAGAGTAGGAAATGCATGTCTGCAAACCTGACGAGACCATGGAGTGGCAGGTCCAAATCAGAGAGTCCTCCGGTACGGTCTGAGGCAGAGTCACAGTCAGTACTAACTTTATTTTATTTTTTTAGGGGTGGCTGGGGTTGGGACGAACACAGATAATGCTCGGTGCACTGGGTGGCTTGCTATCAGATACCTCAGCTGTGTGGGTGGGCAACCTGGCCGAAGATGGTGGATCGTCTGTATGTCTCAGTGTTCCCACACAGAACCCAGAATGCCTTGTAGAGTAAAACTGTCGCCTTCCAGCGAGTGCCCCTCAGAGAAGTCATCAGTGACAGAGGTCGGGAAATGTAAAGTATGTCGCAGGAGTGTACTTGTAGCCTAAGGTGTTTTCCATTTCTCTCTGGTCTTCTTCCCCCTTTCTCACCGTCGCCCCGCCCTGCCCCACTCTGGGCTCTAGTGCACAGGCCAGTTTCATAGACCCAAGTCTGTTTGCTCACAAGTTAGTGGGGGGGGGGGGACTTCCTGAGTTTCCTTCCTTCACCTGACGAGTGTTTAATTAGCATTGTCTCAGGCACAGCCAGCAATGCCAAAACAATAAAATTCCACTCCCTTTTACACAAACAGTGTGAAAGGAGTTGGCGGGCAACTGATGTCACTACGCAATAAGACAGGGGTGACAGCAAGAAGGGTCAGCGCCAGGGTAAGAGAAGGAAGGTCAGGGAGGCCCCAAGTCACGGCGGGGGCCGTGAGCGCAAAGAGATCAGATCTGGGTGCACTCTCTAGACAGAGTCTGCAGGCTATGGTGACATGAAAGAGAGCCAAGAAAACCCCAGGAGGTTGACCTAACAAAGGACAGAGCTGCCCCTTCCTTACCTGGAGAGTGTCTGACTCCTGGGTAAAAACACCAGCTTCCAGGCACAGGGCGTGCTAATTCCGGTTTGCTGCGGACACTCCATTTCTTATTTGCCTGGGCATTATCAACAGAGCAGCGTGAGTCTGGGAGTCACAGGAGAATGTTGGATGTTCCCTTCACAGAGGTGACAGACAGGAAGAGCCCCACTCTGCATGGGGGAGTAGAGGGTGCAGAGTTCCAGGGTCTGCGTGCTTGGACCTTGCCGGGTAACGAGGGTCATGAGGGATAGGAAGAGTCAGGGGAACAGACAGGGGAGAGAAAGAAAACCAGGGACCGACTAAGCTCTGAGCAGGGCTGCCCGGGGCCGCTCTTGTGCTCCTGTGTGTGGTCAGAGGAAGAATGAAGCCGATGGCCTGCATGAGCAAGCGCAAGAGGACTCCATGGGGATGACGGGACAGAAAGAGCGGATGATGGACGGGAAGCATTTCTATCTGCCCTGCTAGAATGAGAGACGAGAGCAACCAGATTTCCTGGAATTCCAGATTCATCGCCGTCCCCAGTAACCTCACCAACCAAATGACAAGGCCCACCACAGGCACAGCACCCGCACATGGGGAGAGATGGCGATGGGAATGGACTGCTTAGTGTCTTCCGGACTGTGGGGCTGTTGTAACAGTTAATCAAGGGAGAGATGCATGTAATTAAGGAGCTTAGCCTCTCAAATGGAGGAGAAAATTAAAAAAATAAATAAATAAAAATCTGTTGAATAAATTTAGGATTTCCAAGTCACTAAAATAGCTAATCCAGGCCCAGAAACTGCCTTCCCCTGTTATCTCCTGGACTGGATACGCTATCCAAATAAAATACATGTCACACCCGGCCAAAGAGCACAAGCTTAGTTACACATCGTTTTGCACAGAGTTTATCCGCAGCTAGAGCTGGAAGATAGTAAGTACTTCAGAACAAGAAGGCAATGCTTTGTGGTTTGCATACTACCAGCCCTGGGTTGCTGTTTTGCCTGGTAGGTAGTTCAGCCAGCGTCTTGGGTGTGACTTATTGTACCTGACCAGAAGGATCGCTGGCTCAGAAAGAAGTATTAGAGGAGTCCCCTGACTCCCACTGACATTCAGCACGTAGGCAGTGCTCAGGTCCCTGTCATGGATAGCTAACAGGGTTAGCTAAAGCAGGAGTGTGTGTCGCTGTCACACAGATAAGGGAGCCCCTCCGGCGCTCACCTGCCAGGGTCCTGGCTGCCTGTCTTCTCTGAGGTAGGGAAGACCATGCCTTTGTGAGGACAGCAGGGATGTGCATTGCTAAGCAACAATCACCTCTGTCATCCCTGCCCATACCCACCTAGCTGCATAGGTGACGACACTCACTCTTGGCATCTCTACCCAACGAGATTCCTGTACATTAGGCTGGGTGTCCGCAGAAGTGACACCTAGAGTCCAGAACCTTCTGGAGAGGGCAGAGGCTAGTCAGTGAGTATGCACTGGCCTGCACAACACTGTGGGACCCGAGGGGGCTTAGCGAAAGTAGACCGAGTCACCCTGTCTGCGTACCTACAGGCAGTTTTCAACCCCAAAGACGCACTTACAGCATTCCCCGGTCGTATTAATGGTATTAAGATTCGTGTCTGTGATGAAGGAGGCCATGGGGAGTGCTCCTCTGTGTGGTGGCTCACGGGTAGGGAGTCCACTAAATTCAACTCAAACCCTTGGAACAGTCAGCGTTTTCAGGATGAGTCTTGGTGTTGGGTGTTTGAGCAAGGTGGCCTGCTGGGGCATCTGGCCATCCCCATCAGGTACACAGGAAGTGTCATGGGTCCTAACAGGAAACGAGGTACACCTGGGTGGAAGGGGGAGGTGCAGGAATGTCTTCATCAACGCTCTTTTCCATGCCCTGATGGATTCAATATTGAGAAACTGAGAAGGGCGGAGTCTGGTTGGAGGAGGCAGGTCAATGAATGAAGACACATCTTTGAAAGACACTGCTTGCCCTGAGCTCCTCCCTGTCAGCTTCTTTATGCCACCACGGGGTGAGCTCCCCCCCCCCATGAGGCTCTGCCTCACCTTTAACAAACAAGTGATCCAGCCGGCCGTGGACGGCAACGTCAGAAACCAGCGGCTAGCACAAACCTTCCTTCCTTTCAACGGTATCTTCCAAGTATGTGTCACAGGACCGAGAAGGGATGTTGGAGGCCTGTAGCTACGGTCTGTCCCTGCTTGATAAAGGCTAACATTTCAGATGTCTGAATGGCTAAGGCTCACCGAGCTAGGCTATGTGACTTAGACCGGCAGTCCCCACAGCAGATACAGTGGGGGCCCTTACCTGAAGAT